TTTTTTTTTTTTTTTTTTTGTATTTTTATTATATATCAATTGAGTACATTAGGCAAATTGATAATTTAACAAAAGTTAATACATACATAATAAAAATAAAATGCTATATTCTAATTTTCTATATTTCAATAGAAAATCATAGTTTATTATTTTTATAAAAAAATTATATAAAATAATATTATTTTAGTATAGTTTGTTTTTCATTTTGATTATTTAAATAAAAAACAATGACCTCGTACCAAAATAATTAATATATAAAAGATAATAACAATAATTGAATCAACATAAAAAAAAAAAAAATTGTACCAAATTCATATCCGTTGGGTCTCGTTCGATTTTGTGCAATCCGGTTGACATTTAGGTGAAATGCATATAACCATAATGTGCACTCGCGATACATACAAAGATATAGATAAAAAATAGTACTATTTTTTATAAAAAAAACTATAAATAAAGAAATTGGCAATATTTTTCATATAATTTGACATGTTTAGTTATTTTATTTATTTAAAAATAATACATTCGATATCAACCAACTAATATTATTCGATTCATTATCAATATTACTGAATTTTTATTTTGTGCATCATATCGTTTTATACGGTGCAACATATTGTGTTATAAGGTGCAATGTATCACTGTATAGAGTGCAACATATTGAGATTGGTACGTTAGCATGCTCGTGTATTTTGTAGATAGATGATATGATAAAGTGTAATATATTGTTTTATAAAGTCCAACATGTATATTATAAAGTGCGACATTCTTATATATAAAGTGTGTTGTAGCACAAATTGTTATTTTTTACCGAGTACTGAATCGAAATTTTCGTTCCCCGGGTCGATCTCACGAGGAAGGCGGTTCGAAATTCAGCTTTGCAATCAATCACACATAAAAAGAAAATATATCCTAAACACTCTAATCAGATAGCCGTTTGGATGAATTATTAACTAAGAAATAAAATAAAAATAATAATCTACCTAAAAATGCAAACGAAACAAAGATGGAGAAGCTAGGGAGTCGGGGAATTAATTCAAGTTCTACTCGCACACCGGGACATGAATCATTCTAGTCTAGATTGATGCTCTCTCTTAAACATCTAGCGGTTCGCTCCCAATAACTCTTCGTAACAAGAGATTGAACATAGACGAACAAACTCGAGCATACGACACATGCCAATTATCCCAATCTCAATAACTTTTCGTAACAAGAGATGGGTCATCGACAAGCGCGTATTTCAACCCAAAACTTATAGACTAATCAGTTACGACATCGTCTACCTCATGCAAGCCTAGGTCTACGACTACTCTCCTTTTGGGTCTAAAAATTGCTAATTCAATTAGAAGAAGTTTAATCAACTAATCACATAGAATCGACAAACCCTAACTCGACAAATTAACATCCAATTGTAACACTAATAGCAAGATCGAAATGTCACTTTTTGATTATATCAATCTATCGAACAAGAATTCAACAATTCTGAATCAATTCAACCCACACAAGAACGAACAATTTAATCATGAGAGATACGGATTAAAAAAAGAACAATCATCCCCTATCCCAAGCAATAAGAATTAGCTACGCAATATCAATTCAACACAATCAATCATCTCTCTCAATTCAATCATTTTTCATGAATTAAAATTAAAGAGAAGAACTTACAATAAATCGCAATTCAAGTGTTGAATCCAAAATTACAAAGCTTAATCCTTGAATTCCATGAAAAATAGGAAGAAAAATGAAAGAGAAAGATGAAAGAAGAAGGAAGAAATGAGAAGAAGAAGAGGGGAGAAGAAGGGGAAAAGAGGAGTTTTTGCGTGTTTTATTGCCCTAGGTTCGTCCCCAGGAGAGGGAGAATAATCCCAATGAAAGCTAAATTTTGCTATTAAAAAGCTGTCTGTCGCGCCCTCCGCGACCGCGGAGCTTCCCGCTGGCCGCAGTGAGCAAAGGCTCCACGGCCGCGAAAATTCCCGAGGCCGCGACATTTTTCCGCAGAAGGTTGGGCGCTGGCAGTTTTTTGTTCGCCACGGCCGCAGTGAAGAAAGGGGTCGCGGCCGCGGCGAATAAAATTGGGCTGCACTGCACGACTTTACGATTAGTGCTTGTTTGGGTTCGCCAACACTCGGAATTGAGTTTCCTTTTTTCTACGCGTCGCTAACGAACCCCTCTATCTAACTATGCAAACCCATCAAATATTTTCTTGAAAACCTGTCCTCCCAAAGCTTATGACATGCACACCAAAAACATGATCTGCGCGACGTTGTTGTTTGAGCCCGTTCGGGCTCGTCCGAGCTCGAAATTGAGCTTCGCTTCTTCCTATATGTCACCAACGAACCCATCTTCACAACCATGATTGCTCGATCAATTTTAGGGCTAAATCCTTTCCTCACGGGGCTTCCGACCTGCACACCAAAAACAAAAGAAAACTGGAAAAACACACGATAAACAAAAGAAATACCAAAATAGAGCAAACCACGAAATAAACTACTGTTTAGTAAAGATTTGGTGGGCAAGGGATAACCAAGTTACCCGACTCAGGTCAATCTCGAGGGAAGGCTATTCGGAGCTTTACTTACTATTCAATTGCTCAAATCACAAAAAGAGAAAATAAAGTCCTAAACATTCTAAGCAATTGATTGAATGGGTTGATTAACACTAAACGAGTACTTGAAAACAAGCAATTAACTAAGAGCAAGATCAAATCATGAGCAAGTAGCAAACTAGATCACCGGAGTCTCATGCCATAACCATAATGGGATGATAATCAATCGACATAAGGAATAAACGAGCTACGAGCATTAGATTGCTAACCCTAGTCGTGTAACCCCAAGTGATTAAGCCCTAATCGGGTCTTAATCCTTAAACGAGATCAACAAGCAATTAACTCCTCTATCTGCTCAAGCAAGCAATCAAGTACAAGAATTTCTTCCATCATCAATCAAATCCACATTTACC